TATTATTATTTATTATTATTGTTTATAATTATTTATTAATAATAATAAATGTTTATGTATATTAATAATGTATAAAATTGAAGGCAGATGACGATGAGAGCGATGAGACACTACGGGAATTGGTCGATGATCGCATTTTGAGGGCTGCAGATGCATCGTGTACCGCGATTATTATTATGACGTCGACGAAAATGCCGAAACAGGTGAGGGGAGGGGATTTTTATGTTTGTTTGTTATTGTGTTTGTTGTTTATTGACATTTACTGGCTTTATTATTGTTATTATAGTATTTATTTTATGATATTTGCCGCTTTTCGCGAAAGAAAAAATGAATTTGACGGGGTGGGGATCGATCTGGCCTGGTGGCGACCGGGGGGTCTGTGCGTGAACAGAGACGCTAACCGACTGCGCTAAAAAGTTGGCGCAGTCGGTTAGTGGCTCGGCCAATGGTTAGACGGTCGGCGGGGATGGGTCGAAGGTTCGGGTCCTAGCTGGGGCAGAGCTACGGAAGTTTTGTGTTAGGATGTATTGAGGGTGTATGATGTGGTTTTGTTATTGTATAATAGTAATTTGGTGGTTTTATGGTAAAAATATTAATAATAGTAATAGATATATAGTAATAGTAATAGATATATAGTAATAGTAATAATAGTAATAGATATATAGTAATAGTAATAGATATATAGTAATGGAGTATATTGTAGGTATACATTGAAGATACTATCGATCGTTCGATACAGTTATGTAAGCAGTTCCTGCAGCATATTGTGTATCCATCAGCGGACGTCTTATGCAGATCGCCGTCGAAGGCGAGGAAGGCTGGTGGGTGTAGCTTTATTATTTTAGATTTGTTATTGTTATTATTGTTATTGTTTTTATTACTGTATATTATTTAAGATGACAAAAATGACAAAATGACACTTTATGTGACAAAATAAGAGTTTGACAAAATGACAAAATGTTTTTAAGATGACAAAAAGCGTCGAAAAGCGCATAGTCAAGCCAGAGCGTTGACATTGCAGAAAGTTTACGCTCGTATCACTGAGCTGGTGGGGTGTTTTGCGGAGCTGGTATGGATTTTTTATATTATTTATTATTTTGTATGTACATTTTTATTGTATATATATATTTATTATTGTATATTATTAATGTATATATGTATAGGTGCGGACACAGCCGTTAACAGATACGGCAGTGTTACATTTGTGTACGGTGGGGTGCGGTCCGTTCTTCGTGGACAACACCGGGGAGTTGCAGTTGCAGGCGATTAAGTTGCTGTCGGCGATTTGCGCGAGGTATGAGGAGTTCAGAACGACGATTATTCAGGTGGGTTGTTTTTATTTATTATTGTTATTTATTATTATTTATTATATATAATATATATTGAATAATAATAATATTTAAATAATATAATATAATAATAATATTTAAAGGATTTATTAAATTCGTTGCATCGACTTCCGTCAACGAAGAATGCGAAGAATAGCTATCGAATGAGCGCAGAGGAGTGGGTCGGTAATCTGACGGTGCTGGTAATGCAGTTGGTGCAGTCGGTGGTGAAGGTGGTTATTTTTTATTATTTTTATTATTTTAGTTATTATTTTAGTTTATTATTATTTATTATTGTTGTTATTGTTTATTAATAATAATAATAATAATAAATATGATAAAATATTGCAGATACCGAGGCGTCGACGTAGCGAAGAGAGTCAACACGGAACCGAACGGGAGGGTGGGAATGGAGACGAGATAAATAGTAATAGTAATAGTATAAATAATCCGGACACGGTCGTGAAAGAGTCCTTCAGACAGGCGCAGAGTATGGCGAAAATGTTCTTGAGTGGTTTTTTGGGAAAGTGGGTGGTTTTGGTTATATATTGTTGTTGTTTTATTGTTTGTTTGTTTTTTTGTTGTTGTTTATTTTTATTATTTTTATTGTTTTTTTGTATTTATTGTTGTTTGGGTGGATGTTTTAAACGCGACGCGACGCGTCGCGGCGCGTTTAAAGTGTGGTAAGCGTTAGGACACGCCCACTTTAGATGTTGGCTCCGCCCATTTGGTGGTCACGCTCACTTTAGGTGTTGGCTCCGCCCATTTAGTGGTTGTTTTAGTGATGGTTAGGCGAAGGCAAGGCTATGGCTATGGCTGTGTGATATCGTCAGTAGTAGTATTAGTAATAATAATAATAATAATATATAATAAAAAATAATATATAGTAATAAGAAATATATAATAGTAAGTAATATATAGTAATAATAAGTGATAGATAGTAATGATAATAGTAATAATAAGTAAAATTAAAGGNTATCGACGTTGGGGTCGTTGCTGATTGCGTCGTATAGGTCGAAGAGTATCGATATGTCGTTGAGGGTGGCTTGGTGGGTGGTTTTTATTTATTATTATTGTTATTTATTATTGTTATTATTTATTGTTATTTATTATTATTTTTGTTATTGTTATGTATTGTTATAGTAGTAAGTTATAATAATGTATTGTTGTATTTTTTGGCAATGTGCCAAGAATTTGGCGATTTGGGAATCTGGAATTTTGGCATAATGTCTTGTTATGATATTGTTGTAATAATAATAGTATTGTTGTGTATTATTATTATTGTTATTTAATATTGTTGTTATTTAGTATTGTTATTATTTATTATTATTATTGTTATTTGATATAATTAAGGGTGTAATTAATTGCAGTTTGGACTATTTGGGCACGATAACAGCACGGCATCGAAAAGACTTGCAGTTGGCGGTGAGTGACGAGGTGAGGTTGGATATGGTGGTGAAGGTGCTCGTGTTCGATGAGCTGGGCGAGGGGGAACAGCCGGCTGACGTGAACGCAGTGGATATTAGTCATGTGCGTGTTTATTTGTTTATTATTGTTATTTATTGATGTTATTTATTGTTATTGTTGTTATTTATTGTTATTATTTATTATTGCAGTTGTCTGGTGCAGATAAGAT